TGCAATGCAAATAAGTTTGCATATCACATAAAAGATAGATACAAAGACAAGATAGACAAGAGAAAGACCAAACAAATGTATCATCACATTCAGTTAGACTCTGAAAATATATAATTTAATAATTGAGATTTAGGAAGATTATTCTCTTAAGATAGTAAAATACTGACAAGTAGTGGTCATTTCTGGGCACTGCACTTTCCTTAAAAATAGTAACTATTAATATTTAAACCTCACAAAATTTCTTAATTAAAGTAACTACTGATCAAATCCAAAAGTCAAATTTTATTTTGTTTGGTTTGAAATGTATAACAGGCAAACTAATGAAAAAATTGTCTCATTAAATAGCCACAAATGCTTTAAATAGCATTTCTTTGTAAATCATTCAGGTCATATTAAATGACAGGATTTCAGAACTGAGTCCAAACCCTACCCTCCTTCCAGTAATGTTCCTTGGGAAGCATCTTGGAGAAATAAGAGGACAGAAAAAGACTTTAATGGAACATTACATCCACCACAAGACTGAGGCCACTTACAGAGCTGAGAGACCATATAACTCATAATTCAAATTGCAAAGGACAAGAAACAGAATAACAAAGTAAAAAGCTCTTAAAAATTATGTAGAAACATGCTTCATCCAAATAACAATTGCAGCAACACATTTAGCTATTTACTTTATCCTCACTAGGGTATGCAAAAGTACAGAAAGCAATTCAAGTACGTTCTAACATACAGGAACTTATGCTAGAGATACACATGATGCCCTAGAAACATTTATATGTCATAAAGACTACTTGATACATTCCTCAGTACATACTGTCCACACGCACTTCAAGCTCTCAGACAGAAAGCTTTCTCTCCTAATCAGTATCTGCAGGAGGCACGTCTACCCTTCCCTCTCCTCCAACATGTTGTATTTGTTTAAATGGAGGACCATGTTCTCACAGTCCTCATTTCCAGAGTTATTAAAAGAAAGGGGCAACAGAAGATGATGGGCAATGGAAGAAATTCACATAGTGATAAGCAACATTCAGTTCTTAAGGGACTGCCCATAGGCATATTTACATGGGTGAATCCAAATGGAGTAGGGACCAAAAAATTCCAAGACCATCACTATCCAGGTTAGTATTATTATTGCTGACAAGTGTCATTAAAGAAAGTTAGAAAAATGAAACCGAAATTGCTACCATCATCTCCAAGCCTTCCTGCAGAGAACCAGCACAGATATTTATTGGAGTTTACTGGCTCAGATTTACTCCTAAATGTATTTGTCCTCCACTGGTGAAGCACATCTCATTTACTGGAAAGTAGCTTGGCTGCTTCTTCGGATACTTCAGGCCAAATATAAGCCTCTGCAAGAGGAACAGCTGATTAAAAAGCCAAGCTGCAGAAAAAGGCAACTAGGTTCTCCCTATGTCAATTGTGTTCATTAAGAGTATTTTCATCTACAATGTCTCCTAAGAATCTTTGAGTACACACTTGTCTGGATGTAGTGAATGAAGAGATCCACCTTTTTCAGTAGCCTGTCCTCAGCATCATTCTGTATATTCCATAAGAGATCAAAGGAGTGCACTGATGAGACTCTTGCAGACTTCAGAATAGCATCTGCAATAGCTGAGTATCAAAGCAGCATGAAAGAACATATTTCACAATAAGGAAGAAAAACAGCAATGTCATATATTAAGAAGTTGCTGTTCATAATGTACAATGTAGTCACACTTCAACTGTAAGGCAGTCATGAAATAAGTAAGCTCCCACACTGGGGCCTCTCTGCGAGAATCTCTGTTCATGAAAATTCTCTCAGCTATCAAGCAATCTTTTTGGTAAATGCTACCACCAAGTGATGGTTGATCAGTAAGAAAAAAGTTAAATGTCATCAGCTATTTTACACAAAATCCAATTATTCTTATCAGGAATTTTATTATTTTCTTTTTTTTCTTTTTTTTTTTTTTTTAATTACCTTGTAGGCTTGGCTGAAATTGCCTACTTAAAATATAGGATATTAAAAAAAAGTCATAAAAAATAGTGTAAAACTATTGAGTTTTTCTAACAACTTTGCTCAGAGATCTTTAAACCTAAATTTAATTTTGTCTATAGTACAGAAAAATAAAAAGTACCTTACCAAAATTACATTGATGCAAGTAATGAACAAATCAACAAGAAGCCAACTATTACTCAGCTTGAAAATACATTGTTGAAGTAACAACGTTTTTAAACTATTCATATTCATAAATTTTAAATACTTTAGTCATAAATTATATTTTTTCATCCTATTTGGTTTGCCATACTGAATCTATTCATCTGGAACACCACATACAAAGAAAAACATTTTGAAAAATCAAACCCCAGAAGCTCAAAAACTTAAATCTGCTACACCCAATTTTCAGACTGTTTTGGTGTTGGCAGTTTTTCCCTGTCTGTTTTTAATTTGAGATTAGATCAGTTCTAAACTTTTTGCCTCCTTAGACATTCTCATATTCCTATTTCTTCTATAATTTATATTCCATAATAAAGTAATTTTCTTCACAAAGCTTTCCCACACAGCAACCCCTCAGGATGATAGTACACAGAGAGGCAGTGTGTACAGGATCCAGACTATTTTGCCCTCAAAACCAAGTGTTTTTCAAAAGGGTAGGGCACAAAGGTGGTCCAATTTGCCAATGTGAGAGCTAAAGAGCTCAGCCAACTGCTTAAGAGATGTTGAACCATTCCTGATAAATACAGCCACCACCCAGAAGTGAGATAATTTTCTACCTAGAGAAGGACAAATTAACATGAATGTTCAATGAGGAAGGAAGATGGGACAGCTGGATAGAAGCCTGTAATAAGGGTTCTCATAGCTGTTAAGACAGCTCAACAAATCAACAAGAAACCAACTATTACTCAGCTTGAAAATACATTGTTGAAGTAACAACATTTTAAAACTATTCATACTCATAAATTTTAAATATTTCTGTTAAGACACCTATGAGAAAAGTAGCAGCAGGAAGAGGACATACTGTTTGTTGCTACTGGGAGTGTAATGGAAGTCTGTGTTTCAAGGGCAATATTATCTCCACATTCCTCTGTAATCTGTCAAAGAAAGATTCCCTAATATCTATTGAAAGAAGCTCCCTTCTACACTTGTCATCTGACACCACCAGGTTCTATTTTGCATGTTAAAGGTTAGAAGCTCCTGAAAGATCCATAATTCATTGCAACAGGGGTAATTATGTTTTATTAGGATTCCCAAATACAGTGACAAGAGTCCAGTCCAAGAAATCGAGAGTCATGACTGAGATCAGCAACCCAGAAGGATGATGTGGGGATATGAGCCCCTGCTTGAGAGAGTGGAGATAATCACCAAGAATGTGATTCTCTTCCAAGTAGCAGCAGCATATGGAATAAGCCTGTTCTGGTCAGGATTGACTCTGAATCTTGGCTTGGGCAAATTCCTGATAGTAAAAGTTTACCAAGCAGACTAATAGGTGTTGAGCTTTCCTGTAAATTGAGAAGTGAGGACTATACATTGAAGTTTTGAACAGTGGTGTCTAAAAATCTTTTAAATAGAAAGGAGCCCTTTGGCAAAAATAATTTACAAAAATATGCATAGAACAAAATAGAATTTGCAGGAGAAAGGATTAAAACGTCTTCATCTACAGCTGGACAGCTTAGGGGAATGGAAGGTCAAGGATGTACTTAGTATTTCATGTTCATTTTACATTAAATTTGAAAGATGAGCTACTAAAAAAAAGGTACCCAGCTTGAGGGCTCACGATCACATAGCCAACCATATGAAAGTCTTTCAAATACATTTGAATTCATTCACTTGAATTCAAGTTTTCCTTTTAAGGAAACCATGGCAATGTCAATGTATCTTTGCAGATCCAAGTCATTATCCCTATAAAAGGATAACCAAAAAAAAAGATAATACTATCTGCAGATTGGAACAATCAAATGACACCAACTCATTTCATTAAGCATCCCTCTACCAGACCTAAGGCACAACCGAAGAATTTAGAAATGGATGTAGGCATATTAAAGAGCAATGAAAATTGTAATAAAGCACTCTAGTTCTTTTCACCCACTAGGACATCAATGGGGGAGAAAAATGAAACAGTAAGTCTTTCTGAAATACTAGCAGAAGCACTACGAGCATTTTGATAAAAATTATTTTTTATCTATACCAAAAGAGCATGTTACCTTCTTAAATATGACCTCTTTGAAGAGTCTCTAGTCTTACATGAAATACAAAGCATCGATCTTAATTAAGGTTCCTCAGTATCACTGCACAGTATAAAACAACTGCTTTCCAAAAAGCATGTATACTGTCACTAATATTAGAAGTGAAAAACAAGGAATTGCACATTTCTTTTCAACTATTCTATTGTACAGTTAGAGATAACATTACAAGTCATATCTTAAGAGGAGTGAAATAAGTTACACTATGTTAAGACACAGATTTTCCAAATAGCAGTAAAATCAGAGATGTATTTTTCATCTATTTCCTAAAACAAGCAGAAAAAAGCTACTAGCTGTCTCCAAATTTAATTCATAATATAAACATTTGTATTTGTCTCCTAAACAATATTTTATACTTCATCAGATACTGTTGAATGAAACTGATGAAAAGCAATGAAAAGCTGACTGGCCACTACAGTGTGTTTGATTGCTTGTTGAAATAAATTAAAAATAATCTGCTCACTGCAAGCAAAGTTTACATTTCAGAAAACAAAATGTTTTAATTGAGACAACCCAGCTAATGACTTGCTTTTGTTTGTTTGTTTGGGGTTTGTGAGAGGCATAGGGAGTGGGTTCTTTTAAAGAATGTTTGTGCCAGTTACCAAAAAGGTCTAACCATAGACAAAACAGTATCATGAAGAACAGAGACATCTGGTCACCAAAACAAGCAGAGCTGGATGGATACAGTTAAAAGAACGTGCCAAAGATATGAGCACTTTTGCCAGTTTGACAGGTACAGGCTCACAAATGCAGTACATTCCTAACTTAATCCTAAATACACAGGAAGCTTTCATTTGCATACCTCTTGTAATTGAAGAGACATATGTCCCAGTTGGTCCTGGCGCCTTTCTACAAGCTGTCTTTCAGCACGCATTTCTTGTTCTATCTCCTGAAGTCTTCTCTCTACCCGTTCTGATACCTTCAAAAGGGAAAAAAACCACCCTGCAGGAAATTAGTGCTTCTTTTACCACATACTAAGAAAACAATGGCAAAAAAGGTAGAGTATGGGGTAGAAAGAAGAGACAACACAACTTTTGTTTTATTAAATAAGATTTAGAATGGTATAGAAAACAACTAGTTACAGCAGTAAGTACTCTAGAAGTACTCAAGCAGGAACTGACCTGCTATCTTGCTAGCAATATCCTCCTTCACGCATATGCAGATTTTTCTGCATACTGAGGCAGAATCACTCAGTATGAGTGAACCACAGTGGTGGTTCTACTCAAGTGCTAAATATCTCAGTATCAACCTTGGTGCAGCCTAACCTGAAGCTACAATAGAAAAATCTTAGCTTCTTTGCCACAGGCCTGATTAACCTCTGGAGAGTAATTTCTTTCACATTTCCAGTCTGTAAAACAGACCAATGATTGCCTCTTTCATACTCTGAAATCTGTTAGCGAACAGTAGTAAACAAGAGCTAAGCATATTAGAGTGACCGTAATGGCACAAAATAATTAGATCACTTTAAAACTTTTTCCCAGTATTTTGTGAATCCATGTACGAACTAATACAAATAACACCAGTTATTTGTTAAAAGCAATTTGGATTATATACACAGTAATTCAACCTTAAGCTACAATACCAGAACAGTTTTATTTTTGTATTTCTAGCTGCTAGCCAACAGCACCCTCTCGTGGACAGAAAATTGAACGTATATTGTTGAAGATTAGCAAGGAAAGTATTTATGTATCATTTCCTCCCTACCTTAAAACTAATTATTTTTAACAATCACTAGAAACCAATGTATTTAGTACCAAATGGTATTTAGATAAAAAGAGAAAGACTTAAAACACCATTCAGCTACTAGTTTCGGATGTACATGGAGGGGAACAAGTTCTCATCTGTATTTCACCATTAAGCACGCTTCTACTAGCATTAGGCATATGGGTGGTTAGAAAATTTTAACATGAGCAATACAGTTGTGTAGCAACAGAAACATAACTAAGGTTACATTTATATTCTGGGCTTCACAAGTACATCAGGTTTAAAGAATGAAAAAGTCTTTTTCTGTACAACAGAATGCATCAGTTTGAAAACATTTCTTGTTTGCGCAGCCAGATGAATAGTCAGCTTACAATGTTGAATTTTGTATTTTCTCTTAAAACCATCAGGAGATGCTCAAAAAAAGTGTACTGCATCAAATCACGCAATTTCATGTAAGTTGTGAAAGCTCTGCAGTCAAAATCCAGAATAATTACTTACTAAAAACTAATGCACAAAAAATAAGGACCACATCACAATGTTTGTATTTGTTTTGACAACTACTACTTAGTGTTACTTCTAATAATTTACAAAATACTCCAGCTAACAGAAACAATGATACTATGTAGCAGAAACAGAAAATAACACTTTGTCATTAAACTTGTCATACCTTTGCTGAAAACTGGGAAATATCTGTCATCCTTTTCTCCAGATATAAAGTACACAAATGAAACATTCATATTTTTACATTTAAAAAAAAAATGTTGGCTACAAGTTTCTGTCTTCAGAAACACTCTCACACATCTTTTTCAAGTGAAGTTAAGCAAGAGAACACTAAAACTACTAAGAAAGAAAATGTATAATTTAGACTTGACAAAAGATCCAAAAGTAATATCACTCCCAGAGAAGACATGTAAAAGGAGAGGTCAGTAACTTCCTCACTGACACGGGTCTAGTTCACCTCACGCACAGCAGATGACATGACATGAGGCAGCACTAGGCAAGCTTCAGATTACTACCTTCAGATTTCATTGTAAATTATCACTAATGCAGAATGAGTAAGAAAATAACATTTTACTAACTACAAGATATCAAGCGATTTGCCTCGCCTCTGACTTTTTCCAACTCCCTCCAAGAACACAACTGTTATTTCTAACAAGGTACTGAAAAAGATGCATTTGTTGTACTTGTCAGGTGCACGGAAATTTCAGAGGCACAGACATAATCATCTTTAAAAAACCCAACCAAAACACAAAAACCAATCAAAACAAACAACTAAACATTTTGATGCTACTTATTGGAAAAAAACCTCTAACAAGAAACTATAGTTAGCATATATAGTATATCATTAGCTCATATTCTCTGTGCACAGAGCATGAAGAGGAGTCTGGAAGAGACTTCAAAGGCTTGCAAACTTACTGTCTGGCTACGCACATGACCTTTTATATCTATATAATTTTTCTACAAGCCTATCTAACCTGCTTAAAAACATTCGCAGAAAACTTTCACAGCCTCCCTGGACAATTCATTCCATTGCCCCTAAAATGACCTGGTTTTTCTAAAGTACAATTTTAGTCGTCTTTGCTGAATTTTACATCTATTAACTTTCTTCTATCCTCTAAGCCACATCCAAGACTGGATACTGGATTTCAGTTCTGTTTTCCAATATATCTGAAGTCCATCTGCAAACGTGACAAGCATCTCTAGACTATTAATAAAAAAAATTCAGAGAGAATTAGATCAAGAATACCAACACATAAAATTGACTTCACTAAGTCCTCTAATTTTAACAGTGAACAGTTTACTAACTACACAGGTGTCTGTACAGTTGCGTGTTTATTCTACATTATATTCAGTTTTAGTATATTTACTGAAAAAGCTTATTAGAACAGTATAAGAAATTCTATCTAAAAAACCCTCAAAAAATTGCAACAAGATATAGGAAACTACTGCTTCATGCTTGTAAATTCCTTCTATGATAAAAGAGTAATTTTTGACAAATCTGTGTTGCCTGCTACTTAAGTTGCTTGATTTGTAAACATCTGAGAGTGAACAAGTTCTGGAAGAATAATCAGTCTATTTTCTTCTTTTTCAAGATTTCCCTTTTTCAGTATTCCAATAACATTTTTTCTAACTCATGCCCACAGTTGTTCATGAATACTCCAAAACAGCCATTAGTGATCGTAAAATCATTTCAAACAGTCCAGTTTCTCAGCTAATCTGCACCAGGTTATTTCAAAATATTTTACGTGTCTTCCTTCCACCCCCAGCGTTTTAAGCTGAGGTCTTACGCCCCCATTGCTGGTCACTAACATGCAGCTTAACTTGTTGGCAAGGTTAGTGTTAAAAACCAGTGTTAAAAAGGTATTAAACAGGAATCAACTTTCTTGGCTTACTGTGTCAGTAGTTTCCCCGCTTCTGCAAGGAAGAGACCAATTGCTTTGGCCTCCCTGAGGAGCAGTGATGCATTTACAAGTGAATCATCATGTGTCTTTGTTGATGCATCTTATTATCTACCACCATGGCCACTCTCTTATATCCACATTATTTTTTATGACTGTTCTTATTAATCTAATTTAGTTTCCACTTTCTGCATTGTTTCTCCTTGTGTCTGAAGTAAATGCAGAGCTTCTAATTCAGCCAAATAGATATATTGCTGTACTTCCTATATTTTGTTGTCAACCTTTCAAGAGGATTTGCATAGAACATGTTTGAACATTTGCCCAACTCTCATTTCCTCCAAAGACTGAACTTTCTTCTGCATGTAATGAGTCATTTCATTAAAAAAAATTGCAACCTCACAAACTATTCCAGATATGTATAAAATAACAAAAGGCATAGTAAACAAAGAACAAACCTTACCCTATGAGCAAATCGGTTCCTTAAAGCAATCATTTTTTCCATCAATTTTTTGTTGATTTTTTTTTTTTTTAATGCAAGAGCTTGACATACAGAATGGTTCACTACTAAGTTAAAGAAACTTGTTTTAGGATAAAGAAATAGGTACCATATTGGTTAACATTTCTTCAGGAAAAAAAGTATTTTCTGGTAGACAAAATGCTTACTATGAAACATTAAATTAGCATTAATCCTGAAAAAGAGGATTAAAAAAACGCAGCCTCATAAACACTACTTTTAGCCTAGTTTATAAAGAACAATACTTAGGAGATTATGGTCTTTCATTTGTGCTCCTCATTTCCTAGTGTCCCCAAAACTCAGCTGAAATTGGCCAATAGATTCAAACATTCAGTGGTACAGAGCTGCCAAATACATTGACTTTGTGAGGTGTTTCAAGAAAATAAGATCCTAGACAGAGGTGATTGTATAAATACCCCATTTAGGGAAACAAGGAGAACTCAGTCTTTATTCCTTTGTTTTGGCTGTCAGCAAAATACATGCATTTAGTCTGAAATTAAGGCTTAGCCTATTTAGCATTCTAAAAAGTATTAGGTTGGAAGTACAAGAAAATAAAGCTAGCAGTGAAGTCAGAATGACGTAAAGAAAGTGGGACTTTGAAGAAGTATGCAAGGAAGCATAAGATGGGAAGAATATGAAAGTTCTTGTACAAGGATTTAGATAACCAGGATACAATATAAGTTTTTGTAGGATGATGCAAACCCAAAAGCATTCAAGTAGTAAGGGAGTAGACTGGGAAAAGGCGGCAGAGAGCACGCAAGTCCATAGCAAATTAGGCTTTATTATGTTGCACCTTGCAACAGTGTAAAAGAAGCAAGTACCATCCCTTGTGGCTTGCTCTGCGTTCTCTGGAAGAGCAGCTACACCACATTCATGTCCCAGCAGTGTTTAGCAATAAGACTTCCTGGAATGCAGTAAACTTACCTTCTCCATTTTGGAAAATTTAGCATCATCACACTATCACAAGCTGGGTCGCTTATCACCACATTTTCCAAATTATTTGTCATATATGGTACGGAATAGCAGAATTCCTAACAAGGGTCCCTCCGAATCTGAGGCCAATCTTCTGATGTATTTCTATATTGCAACCTGCTAACAGTCTCCCTGGTGAAGACGGATGCAAAAAACCCAGTATATTCTTTCTCCCATCCTGTCCACAGATCTTCTCTCCCCTGAACACTCTT